TAGTGATCAATGAGAGATTTTGTTTTATTTGTGTCCCAGTCTGAGTTGGGTAAAGACCAACCAAATGAACTGCAGCCCTACAGCAGCTGGGATCTACTCTAAGACAGCGTTAACCTAATCTACCAGATCGCAAATAATTTAAATAGAACAATAATATTTTATTTCTAAGGTATGTATCTATTTGTTTGCTTGTCATGTAGCAAAAATAAATAACTATTTTAAACAACCCAAAATGTGTCTTGTTTTAGGAACAATAGAAGGCATTTAGCACATATGCATCCAAAGAATGCTGACTGATGTGATTTTTAAAGGGTTATTTACTTAAAGGACCACTATAGTGCCAGGAAAACAAACTTGTTTTCCTGGCACTATAGTGCCCTGAGGGTGCCCCCACCCTCAGGGTCCCACTCCCGCCGGGCTGAAGGGAGAGGAATGGGTTAAACACTCACCATATTCCAGCGCCGGGCTCCCTCTGCGCTGGGGACTCTCCTCCTCTTTCAGTCGTCATCGGCTGAATGCGCATGCGCGGCAAGAGTCGCACGCGCAGTCAGCCAGTCCATAGGAAAGCCTTTTCGATGCTTTCCTATGGACACTGGCATCTTCTCACTGTGAAAATCACAGTGAGAAGCACGGAAGCGCCACTAGCGGCTGTCAATGAGACAACCACTAGAGGCTGGATTAACCCATTTGTAAACATAGCAGTTTCTCTGAAACTGCTAGGTTTACAGCTGCAGGGTTAACCCTAGATGTACCTGGCACCCAGACCACTTCATTAAGCTGAAGTGGTCTGGGTGCCTATAGTGGTCCTTTAATTAACAGAAGTAAGATGGCAACTGACTTGCAAAATTAATGCGAATTTAAGAGAATTTTTACTTAAATTTTAGAGAATAAACCACTAGTAATCCTCAGAACAGAAAACATTTCAGTTTATTCTTCTTGCATGGAATGTGCCAAAGGTTTTGATGTACACGATCACCCAAGTCACAATGGGTCACTCAGTTCACAAAAAGGAGAAGAAACAAATAACATAACAACTAAGGGTGAGTCTGTGTAAATTATTTTAAATCCCAACAGGAAGTAAACTGATGTGACAATTTTCACTTAACAAAAATGTAACTAACATGTTCTCACTATTATGTGCTATTCCCTTTCCCCCACGTTCTTTACTTAACTTTATTTCAATTTCACTTGTTTACAATAATGGCCTAGAAGCCCACAGAATCCTGATGAACAACACAGACCAATATTTAAAAGGGGTGGTATACTTTTGTCTTGCGGTGGGTCTTTTATTTATTTAGTTCTTTTAATTTATTTCTGTTTTCATCAATTGGTATTATTTTCACTTATGCTTCCATTATGTATTCTCAAATGTATGGGTTTCTTGTGTATTGACATTTTTTTTACTTTTATTGATGTGTCTATGATGCTCATGTACCTGGACAATACATATAAATAAGCTGAATAGTTGCTGCATAGCGGGGATTTCTGGGCCTACTTGATTGCTGTTTTGTTTTGCTATATTGAAAACTTGTTTATGCTAGGTGGTGACTTCTATGCTACTGTTTGTACATTTATGTGTGCCTCTCTTTAAATGAAGAATTGAAAAAATGGTGGCATAACCAAATGCTTTTTATTTTCATATACTTTATTTCTCTTTTTTCAATGTTCTATGCAGCCATATCCATTGTACTCACTTCCCACCCTCTCTGGATGTAAAGAGATCAGTACATTTTCTGTACCAGATTAGTGAGGAAACATCTGCCATAGGACAGTTCATTGAGGATACCTGGTTCAACCATAGAGTCAAGTCTAGAGAGCACCCCGCATCCTGAGAGCATGTAACCAATTAAGACAACCTCAAATATGCACTGTATGGCTAACAACAGAAACAGAGTATAAATGTTGACCCTGTAAAACTAACATTTTTACCGTTACCCAACGGGTGAGGTTGAGATGCCGGCTTTAAAGAAAATTAGTTTAGATTCTGTTTAAATTAAAAGATTCTTTGATATTTTTAAGTTTTAGATATGTTTTGAAACATATATCTTAAGGGTAATATTCTGGGAAATGTGATCTAAAGTGTGGAGTAAAAGTCCTGTCATTAAAAGTAAATGGTGAAAAAGAAAGATGACAAGTGCAAATAATGCGATACTGCATTACATGGAATGTAAAGTGACAAACCTTGAATTTAATGATAAGTTAAATAAATTACCTGATTTATGATTCTGGAATCAATGAGAAGTCAAAAAGGGACCACAAAGTAAAGGATCAGATGAAGGATAAAAAGTGAAGAAGATTGGCCGGGGGCTCTAGTCTATTGATTTAATAAAATGCAGTTGAGAAATTGAAAAGGCAGTATAGTCAGAAGGGGGTAGCAATGCATGGGTGAATCTAATGTTTTGGGAACTAGGGAATGCAGAAGAGAAATTCTAGCAATATTTCATGGAAAGCAGGTTCTGGTAAGGGATGCAAGGGAGGTAAAGCAAAATTAAGAAGTTAGTTTGTGTCAGGACAATCACAGACAATTTCCCACAGAAATTCCATATTAAATCACAGGAATGATGGAATATGAATGGAACACTTTTTATTTTGTTACTTATTTAAACATTGTAGGTTCACACTTTATCAAAACATGAACATTTTTGCAATTTGTAGCAGCATAGCATAGATATGTGAGAAATCTCCAGCTTAACACTAAATAGCCCATTATGTGTGCCTATGATTCGTCTAATACTTCTACAATACAGCACACATAAGAAATAAGGATTACAATATTTTATAAGATAACACAGTATGGTTGCTGTCTCACAGCTCTATTTCTGATTGCAGCACAGCAGCCTTAACCAACTGTCACATGGCCTATCTAATCAACTGCTGACACTTATCTGACAACAATGATCCTATTGGTATCAAGTCAACTTCAGGGAGGAGAAAACATAAGGAGGCAGAGATAAGGCAGTCTTCAATCCATCATTACTCACTAATGTACTGGTAATAAAGACCTCAACTGTCCATAAAAGCATCAACACTTTGTACCAAATCACATTCAGTACAGATTACAGATGAGCAATTATAGGATCAGGCAACAAATGCTGATCACCTTGAAAAAGTTACAAAAAAACCCAAAACAACAATTTCTGAGCACATATAGCAGAATATAATTTTAATCTAAACAAAAGAAAGCAATACCAATATGAAGAACTTTTGTCTGCGATGATGAAGGAGAACAAAAACAAACAAAAAAATGCTTTACAACACAAACTTAAGTAAATTGTACTGTGAACAGCACATCTCATCATGCTATATCAGCTCATGGCTTAGCTTGATGGGAGCTGAAGTCCTCAGGGAAACAAACAAACAAAAAAAAGCAACAATAAACAACAACAAAAAAAAGACCCAATTTACAAGTAGCTAGATCCAGGCTTGTCATCGTGTCTTATCTTGGTATGGTGTTAATGGCTTGTCACTTAGACACTAGTATAGCCCATTAATAGACTGTAAGGGGAGGAAGAACTAATACCGTTTCCTTGGGTATTGTATTTCTTCTTGTACTTAATAAAACAATGCACCCATCACCAGTACATTATGCAACCCAAGACTCCTCCTATTGGAAACCTACCAATACTAGATGCAATTGGTCCTTGTAATTTCCTGCATAGCTGTGGACAACTTTTAGAATAAGACAAACTTTCCCCCACACATGCAACAATGTGTAAACCTGTGTGTTTTCAGGCTTAGTTGAACATAGGCATGCACATGCATTATTTTCTGGATTTTGTTTTTAATTCAGTCCCTTACCCTTGCGATTTGCATACATTCCTTCCTCTAGGATTCAACTCCTGTGCATTTCCACAGCTCACACCAAGCACCAAAAGCACCACAAAGCAGATGCGAACCTTTTGTGTCATGCTCCTTTTGAGATGAAGAAAAGTACTGCTCTCTTCCAGCTCCATTCCCTTGCCTCCTCTCCTCATCCCCATCCGACCCAGAGCAGCCGATTGCTCAATCTGCATCCCAAACACCCTCCTCACAAAAAAAAAAAAAATACACAAACTAAAACACACTCAACAAAAAAAAAAAAAGTTTCAAAGTCCCCCAGAGGCAGCAAAGAGGAAGTATAAGCACATCTCAGCAGGGTAAAAGGCAGCCAGAAAAGGGTACATAGAATGCTGAGCACAACTGAGAAGCTGTATAGAAATTCCACTAGTGTTACATCCACGAGGTCTGATCAGAGAAACAACCCCAGACTCCCAAAAGGCTGGTCCAGGCTCTGAAAAACAAGTTTGCAGCTCTGGGAAGAAGATAAGAGTTTGTACATCCGCAGGTCCTAGTGAGTAGGCGAGGAGACTCAGGATCAGTTGTGCTCTGTGGGAGTTAAGTATAAGGATGCGTGGAGTGGGGCAGGCAGACACAAAGTACTGTTATTGTTGCAGTTGCAGCTCACAGCCCCAGAGCTGAGGACTTTCTGCTAGCGGAAATGAAGCTCAGTTACTTTGACTGCCAGGCAGCTTGAAATGATTTTTACAGCAGGAGTGGCAGAAGGAAATTCCAGATTTGCTACCCTGATCCTTTAGGAGGTGGGGCAAAAGGGACATGTCCCACCCAATCTTTCAAACTTATGGGTATCACTGCTCCGGAGAAGGACACGGGATGTTAGTTTGTTTAAAACATGTTTGCAAGAAGTTCCAAAACTTCTTAAAGGGACCGTATGCAGAATTATTTTTAAGATTGAGTCACATGGATGAGTTGTTTTTTTTTTTCTTTTTATTTCACAATAGCTGCATCGCGTTAATGATGGTTCTCTCTTAAAAACAACTTCTGTATTCTATGTAAATGGGTAAATCCCTGTAAAAATTATGTGATTTTTTTTCCAGAATACTGTGTTAATAATAAGTTTTTACTTGTTACCACTGGAAATTTAAGGTGGTATTGTAAAACATTACATTTTTCCCATAGACTTGAGTTAAGTACATTTTATTTATTTTACCCTTTCAGTGCCAGGGATGCAGCACTGTCACTTGTGAGATTTTTCCACAATCCATTAGCTAACTAAATCTTAGCTGTTGGTTAATTCTACTTATTAATAAACATTCTCAGTTTTTTTGAAAAAAATGTGCATACACTGATATGCATGCCAAGGGAGACAAATAAATTAAATTAACCCTTGCACTAATGCATGCATGCTGCATGCGCATGTACAGCAATACTGAATGAATGCTTAAGAATGCATGTGCTTGTAGGGGTTTTTCTGTAGTTGTGCAAGTGTGCCTGTGGCATCATGGGGTAAAATGTGTAAATGCTACTGAGATAAGCATGATTTTTACATAACTTGAGGGTGAGAAGTAACTGCTCCTCTTAAAGCAGAACTGGTCACTGGTGAAATTCTGCACAATTTAATAGGTTCATAAAAAGTGGTATCACTCATGTTATTAATAACATAGTTACATAGCTGAAAAGAGACTTGCGTCCATCAAGTTCAGCCTTCCTCAAATATGTTTTTGCTGTTGATCCAAAAGAAGGCAAAAACCTAGTCTGAAGCGCTTCCAATTTTGCAACAAACTAGGAAAAAAATTACTTTTTGACCCCAAAATAGCAGTCAGATGACTCCTTGGATCAAGCAGCTATTACCCCACTAATTAGAAATTATATCCCTGTATGTAATGATTTTATTTTATTTTTTTCTAATCTAACTGGTGTAATTGTTCCTATTTAACATATATTATAAAGAATTTTATATGTGCTTACCGTCAAGTTTATTAGTGACCACAGAAACCAACACTGCCACACAAAAGTATGTATTTTTTTTGAAAGTAGATATCCTAATCATGAGTTATTTATCCAAAGGCATTTTGACACCTTTTAGCTATATGGCCATTTACTTACAATGTTTGCTAAAGTTTGTAGCAATATTGTGCCCTTTTCAGTTTTTTTCATGCAATATTGCCACTTTGTTATGCTTTGTGAAGATCTAATGTATGCCTCTGCTGTGAACAAAAATAAATGGTGCTCAGTTACATCTCCTGAGTACAGAAATATATAACAAGTATGCATTAAATTTTTGTGACGTTACTGGTCTAAATTATAGAATTGCCCATTTCATTTTTTTTCCAAACCTATATTATTGATGCTTGACCTGTGCTGCATATTGCTGCTTAATATGCTCTTAATGTTGCATATAAGCAGCTCATACATTCAAATTAATCCATAATGCCATTGTAAACATTGGCCTCCTAGAAAAGCCCATCATATTATGCAAGCCCATCTGAGAGCAGGCTGCTAATCGACTGTAATACTACGCATCTTTATTAGTCGAAACCAAATCTTACCTGGCTGATTATTACTGTTCGCTATGGGCAACCTTGGAAGATGCCTGTTTACAGCCGTACACAGTGGATCAAGTCCTCTGGTCACCGAGGCTCCCAACTTACAGAATATCTCCATCCTACTACTCACTAGACATGTGCAATTAGTTTTGTTCCGAATGTACATGCGACCGAATTTTGGGAAATTCGGACATTCGGGTGCTTACGAATGTCTGAATTGCAGAAGTGCCGAACCGAATCAAATGCTGAATTGACGAAGCAGACACATTTTTTACTTATCTGAATTTCCGAAACGAACCAAACCAAATTATTTGCCCATGCACATCCATTCTACTCACCACCCACTCCCTGTGTATGTATGAAAGGATTGGTCTAGAAAAGTCCTCTTCCAGACAACTGGGTTATTCTTTGTTCTTATTAATGCATTGCAACATTTAACACACAATTTGGCTATCACCCACTGACCTAGCCATGGCTTTACTAAAATTCTCCATTTGTTTGCAGCCTTGCAGCTTTTATACCATTAGCAAATTTAAGGTCTAAGTACACTCTCCCACCATGAGACCAGTTTGCTTTTCTAGAGTTAAACATATTGTCACATCTTGTAACATTCGTCGACTGATGGGCCCAAGCATTGTGTCAGTCTGCTCACATGCACTGCCCAGATAAAAACCCTTAAAGCATATCAGAATGTTACTGGTCCCTAACCAGAATGTGAAACTTTCATACATGTAATCATGGGAGAAAGAACTTTGAAAACATATCCTCTTTCACCACAGCAAGCAGCAATTGACAACATGCATGGCATATCGAAATGCATGGCTCACTGGGAGTCAAATAGGTAACTTCTATTTCACTCATCCCTACCCTTAGTGCTCATGATTATGTTGAGTCTGTTTGGTCCACCAAACCTACAGGTATAATTTATCAAGCAGCACATCACAGAGATTCAATTACCCCTACGACCAGAAAGCTTTTTCTTGGATATATTTCAGCCTGCATTAAAAAATACCCACAGAAACATTTAAATCTACGCATCCTCACAACAGCCACAATGAATTAAAAAATAAATAGAAATAAATAGAAAACAAATCAATCCTGTCTCCCTCCAGAAAATCTAGCATATTTCAGGAAATAGCTCACAAGTTAATAGACAAGCTTCCCAAATTAAGAAATATCTGGGGCTAGTTCTTCAAGACCGCAACATGAACACCAACATTGGGTCCACATGGACCTCCTTTCTCCTCTCTCCTTATCCACGGCCGTCTATAATGCAAAACAAATAGGGCAGCTGCCCCGGGCTCAGTTACTCATGGGGGTCCCAAAGCAGCTGCCCTGTGGCCCCGCCACCAGCATTAAAAAAAAAAATGTTAAAAAAAGATTTCCCTAATGGGCCCGCGGTGCTGGTATTGCAGCTGCACCGAGGCCCGCACACTAATGGGGCCCAGCGGGTAGCCCATACACTTAGTGCCACCCTGTGAGCATGTTTCAGCAGGGGTCCGGTCGGGACTGTGGCCCTTTATCAGCACGACCGGACCCCTTGCTTAACGGCTGCATGGGAGGAAGTGACGTCTGCGAATCACTTCCTCCCACCTCAAAGATAATGAGCCTCGTGGGAGGCTGAGCCAGGATCCAGTGAGGAGGGGGAGCAAGGAGAGCCAGACCCCCAACTACCCCAGCCAGCACACTGGACCCCAGGGAAGTTAGCCTCTTGCAAAGGTAGGAAACTGAAGAGTGTCTGTCTGTGTGTGTGCCAGTAAGTTTGTCTGTGTGTCAGAATGTATGTCTGTGTGTGCCAGTATGTCTGTGTGTGTCTGTCAGTATGTGTGTAAGTCAGACAGTATTTATGGCTGTGTGTGTGTCAGTATGTATGTCTGTGTGTTTGTCCGTATGTCAGTGTGTGTGCCAGTATGCCTGTGTGTGTGTCAGTTTGTCTGTGTGTCAGTATGTATGTCTGTGTGTGTGTCAGTCTGTCTGCGTGTGTGTGTGTCAGTATTTATGTCTGTGTGTTTGTCAGTATGTATGTCTTTGTGTTTGTCCGTATGTCAGTGTGTGCCAGTATGTTTATCCATGTGTCAGTATGTCTGTGTGTGTGTCAGTCTGTCTGCGTGTGTGTGTGTCAGTATGTCTATGTGTGTGTCAGTATGTCTGTGTGTGTGTTTGTATATCTGTGTGTCAGTTTGTGTGTGTCAGTATGTATGTCTGTGTGTATGTCAGTATGTATGTCTTTGTGTCAGTATGTCTGTGTGTGTGTGTGTGTCAGTATGTATGTCTGTGTGTGTCAGTATGTATGTCTGTGTGTCAGTCAGTATGTATGTGTATCAGTCAGTATGTGTCAGTATGTATGTCTGTGTGTGTGTCAGTATGCTTGTGTGTGTCATTTTATATGCCTGTGTGTGTGTCAGTATGTATGTCTGTGTGTGTGTTAGTATGTCTGTGTGTCAGTATGTCTATGTGTGTGTCAGTATGTCTGTGTGTGCCAGTATGTCTGTCTGTCAGTATGCCTCTGTGTGTGTGTGTGTGTGTGTGTCTGTGTGTGTGTGTCAGTATGTATGTATGTGTGTCAGTTTGTATGCCTGTGTGTGTCAGTATGTATATATGTCTGTCAGTCAGTATGTCTGTGTGTGTCAGTATGTATATCTGTGTGTATCAGTATGTGTAACAGTGTCAGTATGTATGTCACAGTGTGTCTGTGTGTCAGTATATCTGTTTGTGTGTGTGTCAGTTTATGTGTGAGTGTTAGTGTGTGTATTTGTATGTTGTCAGTATGTATGTATCTGTGTGTGTGCCAGTATGTATACCTGTGCATGTATCTGTGTGTCAGTGTGTATATCTGTGTATCTGTATGTAGCCAATGTGTGTATCTGCATGTGTGTCAGTGCTTGTCTGTGTATCTGCATGTGTGTCAGTGTTTGTATCTGCATTTGTCAGGTTATGTATCTGTGTGTCTGTATGTTGTCATGGTGTGTGTCTGTGTATCTGTATGTTGTCAGTGTGTATATGTGTTGTCAGTGGATCTGCATGTGTGTCAGTGTGTGCATCTGTGTGTCTGCATGTGTGTCAGGTTGTGTGTCTCTGTGTGTGTCTCAGTGTGTGTAAAGGTGTCTGCATAGCTGCATCTGTATGATTGTGTATATCTGTGTATCTGCAAGTGTTTCAGTGTGTGTGTGTGTATGTATATGTGTGTGTATGTGTATCACAGTGTGTGTGTGTGTGTTTGTGGCAGTGCATGTGTATATGTGCATACATCTCAGCATTTAAACACCAACACTACACGCAAATACACACCTGCATTAAAAATTTAACACTACATATAAACACACCTCTTTTTTTAAACAACAAAATTATATATAAACACACCAGTGCATTCATAAACCAACACTACACATAAATGCATGCTTGCATTCAAATGCCATCTCCACATACAAACACACCCCTACATTCACACAAACATACTCCATACAAAAACATGCTTACACTCAAACACTCAAATACTGCTCAGTGCTAAATACAACCCTGCATGTATGGGAAAATGGTAGAGCACCAGCTGTCAAAGCATTGTTGGAGTTGCACGACAGATGGAGATCGCGGCATGGTTGGACTTGGAGTAAGGGTTAGGGTAAATGTAAGAGGTTTTAGAAGAATATGTATAAATCTGTGACAATAATTGGGTATTTTGAAACTGTTACAATCCATGTGTAGGTAGGTTCCTGTATCTGTGACACATCATCTGTTTTGGGTGAGACTAAAGAATAGATGCTAGGGATCAGGTAACAAAAATATAATGTAATTTCACCTCTATCCTTCATAACACCCACCCCTCTCCCTCCATGTTTATAGATATTGACCCGTGGTTTAAGAGTAGGAAGTGAGCTTTTCATTCACTCTTATTGATATATCATGGACTTATAGTAATGTTATAAATTATAGACCGATATGGTATATGAAATACAGACCGATATGGTAGAGGACACCCCTTTTTTCTTTTTTTGTCTCCGCCGTTTTCTACTTGTATCCATTGTTATTTTACATTATTGTGGAAATAATATTAATTTAGTTAATCTTATAACATACATCTATTCTATGCTGATTCTTCTTGATATTCCTCCAATTTTCAACTCAATGG